TGTACCACGCAAATGATAACACCATAGCCAATTATTGGAGCTATACGATGCGACTAAAAAGGGCAGGGACTAAAAAATGTTTCCCTAAGGTTAGCTATTGTCAAGTAGTCCTACCGCATGCCTTTACAAAAAAACGGATAGAAGCAGTTGGCCAGTGCGATAGAAGCTTTTAAAATGCAGAAGCTGTACTACTACTACTGTCCCCCCCCCCTCCCCCCCCCCCCGGTGAACCAGAGCTAATAGTTTCCTTTTGTTAAAATGATAAGACTCTATGAGAAATACTATGAAAAAAGAACAACATATTCACTATTTTTTTGTAATGGTGTTAATTCGATATCTATTGTTTAGGATTAGCAATAGTAATGTACTATAATCCGCGCACTCAACAAAAGCTGTAACATTATTTAAATATAGGTCTTTTCTGTACGAAATAAAATTTATTTATCGATACATACTTACGCGTACTTTTTCTTAAAACAATTTATTTTCTATAAGAGTGAATATGCCCATTTATTGAAAATGAATCACCATTTAAAAAAAAAACCTACAGGTTACGCAAAAAACAGTCATAGGTGTATACTGCAAGGACGACAATTATCAATGAAATCAGTTTTCCACTAGGCAGTTTATGTTTTTTCCCTTAGTCACACACATATTTTCTTGGGCATTAATGTAGGTATATAATGCGACCTTCACTTCCGGAAGTTGCAGTTGGTTGTAACTAGGTTAATCTCAAACGAGGTCTTTTGCAGCACATATCTCCGCTACCTCTGCGAAAATAGTAATATGCTAATCTCTTTCCATAGCTTACAGAAAAACACCACTGAAGTCGACAATGTCGCTTATTCTTCTTACAAATAAGCAGCTCGTTTATAACAGTTGCTTACGTAAACTGATTTAGATGTGTCCCAAAAATAAGAATACTTGCGTCGGTGTCAAAAGCCATTCAAAAAATCACTTACCCTAAAACCCTACGCGAGACCCGAACTGGAGATTTGGCGAAGTTCTAGAAGAAATGGCGACGGCGATACCGGACGTACAACTTGAAACATAGTTGTTTGTAGGGGTTGTGTGAGAGCCGACCCAGAGTAAAGCTCGTGCCAGCCAAGTTCCTGGGACCATCCTCAAACGGAATGAAATTTGCACTGTACAATCGGTCAACAAATCGTTCAAGCAGAAACTTCGCTAAGGCTCCAAGCGCGCTGCGATAGCAGGACGAAGCCTCCATTGCTACAGCTTGCGTAATGGATCTCTTCAATATAGTGGTGGCCAATACTACTGTGTAATGGGTCCGAATGACGCTTATTTCTGCTGAACCCTGATCGACGTGCAGGTAGTGACGATGTAATTTCCAAGGTTAAACCGGTACTTTACGGCGAATTCAATAGTATTTTTTCTTAGACTATGGCTTGGAATCTTTTTTTTCTCACACTATACAATGAAAAATTTAATAGTTTCGTGGGATTCTTAACTTGAATGGGTCTGTCTCCGTGATGGTGCATCGGTAACGTGTTTGCCTGCTGAACTTAAGGGCACGTGGTAATCTAATGGGGCGTGAACTTCTTTTATTTCGTGCAGAAAGTTAGTCGTTTAAACAATGTTTAAGGACGGCAGTGGTGGATGTTAAGCCTGCAACAAAAAAAGACAGTTAAAAAATCTTTTTCTTAAAATCCATTTCATATATATTGTTAAACAATGGCAACTATATCATTAGATCGTAGATAATTATACCTTATCCAAAAGTATCCCGAATTGCTACATTTATGAAGATTCTTTTTGTGGGAAACTTGAAGTACGAAATGCTGGTCACTTTATAAACAATGATTATTTAAAACGGCTATGGTAGAATCACCCGTTTGTTCTCTAAGCCAAGACAGATCAGGTCAATCGTCAACGTTAATAGTAGCCACTATGAGTTTTTGTTACATGTTCGTATCTTTTATAACGCCTCATGAATAATCATAGCTGGAAGACATTGATTGCCACTTCTCCGACTGGAAAATTTACCTAGCCTAGGCACCTCTTTCTCAAAGGGCCCGCTGTATTGCCATACACAAGCGTAATCATAGCAGTGGTCTTGTTTTATTGCTCAGCGTACCTTATACGGTACTTCGTGACATAGTGATAAGATGATTTGCAACTCTGAACGTACCATACCTCTTCTATATCAATACGCACCACTAGTATAGAGCCGAACAGAGACAGTACTTACTTATAAGGCCTACATTATCTAACTCTCTTTAACTATCTCTCTAAGCAGATTTATTTTACTTTACGCTCAGTTCTAACGGTTCGTAAGTTTGCCCAGGAACCAATAAAAACAGTCATATATCCATCTGGCCATATTGTTTTTGTTTGCATTTATTCATCGCATCTAGATTCGCTGCTTCAAGTTTTGCCGATATCGCATCAAAAGTACACAACTAGCGTGAAAAAAAAATTATTACTTACCCAATTTATGGTACTCCGGTTTGAATGGTGCTCAAAATTAATAGATGAGGAGTATAGTTCTCGCGCTCAAAAGCTTTCCTTTATCATTTCTCTCTCGTCTAATATCCCCTTCGAATACACTCTTCTAATTCTATCTGTATGCTGTGAGCGCAACTCTAGTTCGACAGAGTTCCTTAAAAACGTGTTTTCAACAAGTTCTATACCAGGCGTCTCGCCAAGACTAGGACATTGCCTAAACCGCTCGGAACGTTTGCCTTGTGTACGGCAATTATGCTATCACTCAAAAGATTACTGAAGAAAAAAGGTGGTTTGCCAAGCTTGAAAATAACAATGGGACCTAGGGTATTCTCCCCCCTCTGACCAGTTATCCGATCTTGATAAGTACCATTTGGAAATACTTTTGTAGGAAGATGGTCAACAATTAACTTAGGAATTAGCCAAAAAGATCAGCTGCAGTCATACGACCCTTGTTAACTATTTCGAGTCATATGAGTCTAAACAGAAACTTCGGTACCCCACTAACCATCTGAATATAGCGACTAAGCGCTGCACCTCAGCACTTCACTCGGCGTCATGAGTCGCGTGGCCACAGTAACTAATCTTTACACAGAATTGTCATCGGCGTGAGAAGTGGCGTCCGTACATCAACACGAACTAGATTAGATGTTCCAGACGAGCAGGCAAGGCCCAGGGTCCAACCATGTTTTTATCTAAGAAAGGTTGGGCTTTGCGTGTGATGGGACTGCGACAGCCCGATTTACTAACTGCAACCATATCGGCGGTCGACGTGGTTCATTGGCCCAATTGTGTCGAGTCAACCGGGCCCTTCATGACAAAGGACCTGATAAACGAGATCCGGTGATCTTGCGCGACAAAAACGCGAGGTACACGCAGCAAACCTTCTCAAAGCTACACTTTTAGACTTTGAACGGGAGATTCCGTTGTATCCCTTATAATGCCCGAACCCGACGCCAACGCGCTTTCTTTTTTTCTGTTCACTGGCCAATCACCTTTTTGACTTTACCGTCGAAACGAAACCCGCTACCTTCTGGTGAGACGCCACATATGTTATTTAGGCGAAAGGTGGGAAGATATTGTGATTAGTGTCGGGGATGCATAACATGATCTCTTATCGTCACAGCTATAGGTGAGGACTCAGGCTCTATACGTTGCATTTGTTCCGAAATCAGTTTTCTGAAACTGCCCACTTCGGATCATCGTGATAGCACTGAAAAAAGCAACCGGCAGAGCGTTGGAACCATTTAAGATGAATACAACTACGTAAAATTATCAGTTCTGCAATAGATATTTTAGCCTTGATGTATTGCGGTACGTAAATATCAAGAAGGCTTAAATTAGTTAGCGCTCGTCGATCACTGTTAGCTCAAATCCATCATTGTATGTTGACTGCATAACAGCTTTTTGTGCACGTTTGTTCACGCAGCGTCATGGCTTGATAAATGCTCAATAGGTCGGTTTGTCCGCAAACTGTTGGAGAAGCCGCGGTATTGACAACTTTTTGCTTACTGTTACGGACTGTAGTTGACAAACAACAAGCCTACAATTACGTCTACTACATACATATATATATATATATATATATAAACTAGAAAAAAAAAAGTTGTTTCATATGGTAGCTTGTGTGTATCGATTCAGCATTCGATGTGTATAGGTTTCTGCAGTGGCAGAAATTCATCCTCGTTCGCTTTATATCGTTCGACTTTTACCACGAGTGCTTTGCTAATGCGTGAAGTTACTAGAGTCTGCCTACAAATCTGCTTCGACTTTTTCTCAGGTACATTACTATTATATTGTCTAGTGGTACTGAATTTCAGACTCATTAGCAAGTGGCGTGCCGGCAAGGTATCTCCTTGTTCGTATTCTACCTGCGGCTAGCTGGCCGTACTGCCGAGTTTAGTCATGCATAAAATGGGCTGTCTTCAACAGCAGTGATAAATAGGTTGTCCTGGCCTTTCCTATAAGCACTGAAGTAGTCAGGAAACCCCTTTGCCGAAGTTAACGCATGATGTTTTCTTCGGCAGAGCGAAACCTTGGCACTAAAAAAGCGTATTCTTCGATATTGGAGACGAGACAGGCAGCATGGAACGTAGAGAAAACGAAGGACCGCCGAAAAGCAACAAGCATGTATGAGACGAATGGCTTTTACATTTTCCAGATACACATTGAATGTACTCGTACAGCTTCAGCTATACACTGCCGTACCTCAAGACACGAGTAAAATTATACGTAGTTACGTCCGTCGAACGTATATTATTGTCAAAAAGCGTAGCATTCGATGTTTTCACGCAGCTTTTTCAATCGTACGCTTGTGATTCTATCAAAATAAAACTGGTAGATTCAAGCTGGCACATATTTATATACATGTTATTAAAAATACTACTTACGACAATGAACGTCTAAAGAAAAATAATCACAACTCGAGTGCAACATGTTTATTAACTAGGTTTACATGTAGGTATATGAGCTCGTAGTAAGCTCTATCTGCAGCCCGATAAATCGTAGCGTTGTCAGATAGACCTGATTTTGTAACGCGGTAGTTTTTTTTTTTTACTACTTGTCATCCATCAATAGTTACTTATTAATCCCAAACAGAGAATATCTACTTTTCTTTCGACGGCGACATATTCGATTGTTGGTAATCGTTCGCTTTAGAAACCAAGTAGATTTATAACAAATGAATAGTATTTTTTTAATTTTACAATATTTTATCTATTTAATATTTTAATTTACAATATTTATTTAGTTAATAAGAAGATCGCCACAATATATCAGCTTACCGAATCAAAAATGAAACTTCACACCATTTCGAAACAAATTTAGGTATTATTCGTACGTGAATTTTAATAAAATTATTATATTTAAGAAAATTATTAACTAAGCGGTTAAGGCGACGACGAAAGGTGAAAGACCGCTCCTTACTATCCTATTTCTACTTTATTTAGCACAATAGAATACTTATAGGGTTGTGTAGTGGACCTAACACCTCCAGCGCGAACTATAGGGGCCCGGGAAACTTTTGGGTATTTCCGCAAACTCGCGAATTTACTCTTCTCTGTTATTATGCATACTTTGACAGCCAGAATTACTCTTAATTAGTTAATTTTTCCTTAACAGACTTATTTTAGCTAATTAATTAACCAATTACGGAATTTCAAGGACAACAAATGCCGACTTCCCTCCGTAAATAGGTACATGTTTCAATTTGGTTTAACCTATCGTTTTTTAAAATAATATCCTTTCGACCCGTATCTTTTCATTGCCTCTTTATTTGCAAATAGCAATATATCCACTGCAGACTGCAAAATCACTTCGAGAGAGCAGTTTTGTTTGTACACTTAACTATTCGTTTACGAGTTCAGATGGAAAATAAAATACTTATCATATCAATTGTTAAGTGATATTTTTTGTCATGTTCCTTTAACAGGAAGCCGTACTTGGGTTTCCAATAATCCGGGGCTGTAGGTTCGACTCAGTCATATATTCCTCCACTGTCGAGCCACTGGTTTATTATTGTCAAGCCGCTGACATTTAATAGCGCTGCTTTTGAGCCGAGGCTCTTCCGCTTTCCATGCGGCTCTGAGGGCGCCGACCCCTTGAGCCAGTGGACGTTGAGCGAGCGTTGTTCACCTCCACCCACTCAAACATTGAAGGTTGTACACCGCCAGCTGAGGTCTGCCGTCGTGTCGCACCCTGATCGGGAGCCTTGTAAACGACTTTGAGCTTATTCTTGTTGTCTAGAATAATTTCTCCATCCAAATAAACCTCATTTATGAAGCTTAAGAGTCGATCCACCTGCACATAGTTAGAAAGATGCCACGTCAAACGGAGTATAGGGTCCGCTAAAGCGAAAACTAGCGTGTATGTTGCACAATACGTATTTGTCAGATTACCTTTCGCTTCTTAAAGCATTTATCCAGCTTTGTTTCTACTCGGACAAAATTATACGGTAGCAGTATTTTTCTTGTATTGTGTACAATTACAACGTTTGTATCAAAGCTAATGAAAAGCTAATAACAACGTTCAAGAAGTAGACCTTTTCAGGAAGAGAATGAACTTGTGACTCGATCGTCATGGGCTGCTCGGTAGTTCTTCCATTTCCTCGGCTCATTCCAAAAAAGCCCTTGAATATAATAGTCATGTACAAAGTTATCAGTATTTACCTATTCGATGTTCAACATTATGCATTAGATTTTTATGACTTCGGGATGAAACGATCTAATCTTACAGAGATAGCATCCTGTAATACCTACCTTGACCTTTCGACCCATGAAGCTGATGATCTCGTAGTCATTACATTGTTTTTCTATATCCGCTTTGACTGACTGGAACGAGCTAATGATCAGTGTTACGAAGAGATTGAGAAGTATCACCGACGTGATGAAGGCGAACACGAAAAATACAAGGGGTCCGATGACCGGTGACGCCATTGAGATCTCGTCAAACTTGAATTGGCCTCGTGCCATGTCGAAACATGTTTCCGCCGATGTAACGAAACTTGAAAACTCCTTCATTTTGGTCCCTAGCACGATGTAAAACACCTGAGTGAACGCGAGGAAAATCACCCAGAAAACAACGAAGAACGATGACAGATCCTTCGAGCATTGCGACAGTGTCGAATAAAGTACGCCGATCCGCTTGTTGAATCGAAGTAGCTTCGTGAATTTGAGAATTGAGATAAAGATTAGGAAGCTCATTAGGTAGCCGAATACTTCGTCGACGGCCGCCACCCGCTGCAATTTTATGTAGGCGTTGCCGTGTGACCGTTCGAATATTTTGAGAATTTTTCTTGTCATTGCCATACGCGATATGTAGAAGAACATGCAGGCATAGCTAAGACCTAGAACAACGAGTTCGGTGATATTCCAGTACGAGCGGAAGTAATCTATCCGCAATGCTCGAAAACTCTTTGCCTCACGCACAGTGAAGTATATGATAAAGCCGATAAAGGAAACTTCGCAGAGGAGCACAAATAGGCCAAATCCTTGATGGTAGCGCATCAGCCGAATGCCATCTATTCGGTAATTGGGTATAATTCCGCCGCCCGGATGAAATTCGGCCACAATTGTTACTACACCGAATAGGTTCACCTGTTGATAATATAAAATAAGCAAACTTTACTTGGCTAGATACAGTAAAACGTACTGCGTAGGTATGAGACGCCAAGTTCGACGAACGCACGATTCCGTCTCGTAAACTATTGTCTTTTACCTGCGCGTTGTAAACGGAGAATTCGATGAATACAGCACGGGTCCCTCCGTCAATCCAGTTGGACACCTCAAGTTCATTTATTCGCTTGATAATGCTTTCCTTGGTACCTCGAAGACGCATAATATAACCACCACCTAAATGGAATGGTAATAATTAGTAGATAATAGATAGTTAGCTACGTTGCATGACTGCGTTTCAATAAAAAAACAAGTAATTACGAGTAAATCGCTCTGAGAGCCGACTAGATAACAATCTAATATCAGTTAAACAATAGCTTTACGCTGTAGAAGTATCATTTTTATCAACAGAAGTTAAAAGCAAATTTCGCTTTACATTATTTTGGTAGCAGAACCAAAACGCACACTCATTTGCACCGCATATATAGTATACCTCCGTAAACATCGAGTTTTCCCCAAAATGGAAGTCCGTGGAGTTCTTTGGCCTTCTTATGTCTCCATTCCTCGTCTGTTAGATTAGCTGGATTGAATAGGATACTATGATTTTTGGCCATCGAAACCCACTTAGGGTGATAGTGTTTTTTGTCTTCTTTGATCAATGAAGACTGTCCTCGACATTGACTGACCACGTTCCGCATCAGTTTCTCCACCTTACACGAATCTATAATTAATAGAGTAAAATAATTAACGATGTGCAATAATAATAAGGAGCGAGTTCAATGTATGCGAAAGGTATTGTAATTATTTTCATCATTGGCTTCAATACTTCACTCCATCGACTAAGTATTGCATCACGAGTCCGATGGTCGGTATTATTTAGTTGCGTTCACGAAGTACGGAGCAGTTATTTTCTACCGACAGTGTTCTTCTTGGTCGATCAGATCGCTTAGCACTTGTCTAATTGAAGGCTGTGAAGCTTTTTTCCACACCGTGTGAATTTGTGAAGATAATTTTCAAAACCGCCATTGCTAGTCAAGTAACGTTCGTGCTAGTAAAGCATAGTCTTCTCTACATCACTTAATCCTCTCGTATTGTGCACGTCAAGATGAAGTTAAAGTAGGTATCTTAATCGTTCTGTTTCATCGTTCGTGAGCCACGTAATACGTTTTGTGCTGACACTTACTTGGTTTGGCGCGTATCTGCCTCATAACAGCATAGCCCATGATACGATTGACTCGGTCGTTTATGAATCCACGTAGACCGAATGGCTGTTGACCGTTGTACCATTCTCCCACTTTCAGCTGAGGCACGACCGTTTCGCGAACGTATTTGTAGAACCCGTCGGTCGATGAAAGCTGCAAAGGGAAACGTTCGCATGTATGTACAATGGAACGTGCTGAAACGTGTGTTTTCTGAAAGTATTTATTATAGGTGCACTGTACAATAAAGAAAAAAACTGAGCATTTGGGATCAATTGAGACACTTTCAGGAGGCACTGCTTGTCATAGAGGGCGTGCGCTTCTTCGGACTGAAAAAAAATCAGATTTTTTTAGCATAAATCATTTACGGTGGAGACAAAGGATTTGTGCTTTAGGTATTAGCGAACATTAGTTATTGTGCATTTTTGGAGCACTAATCCTTTCTACATCCATATAAATTAGAAACATTTATGGTTGCCCGAAGTCGATCATGTACATGGAAAGCCCGATTCTACACGGTTCCTGAACGGTCTGAAAATGGAATCCATAAGGCGAAGTAAATAATCTACGATAGGGATTAAATTATAGAGCTTGAAACTTCGCTTAAAAGTAACGCAGGAACAAATAGTAGAAAATACCATTTTGGATGAGGAAGTTTAATAAGAATGAAATTAACAGTTGTTTGTAGAGAGGCGCACTCAGCTGCCTACTTCTTGCGCTTTCTTTTAATATGATTTGTACTATTTGCAATTGTAGTCTAATGTCAGCATAACGTTTAAATATGCTAGGTCAGTCGGACGGACAAAACACGATCATGAAGAATGTGCTAAGAAGCATTAAGGAAAAGAAGAAAAAGTTTCACCTCCTGAATATTTGTCTTCCTTTGGATGCAGCCTATAAACGAGCACAATAGTTTCTCCCGGACTTTATATATCATTTCACTCCTAGTTGAAGTACGGTGTATACCCAACGTATACAAACCTCCATAAATTTAGCGTTCTCGATGAACTCGTTCTTGAGGTTCATCTGCATCCAATATGCGTTAGGATCACGATTTCCATATGATAATACGGTAAGTAGCCAAAGGAAGAGTAGATACGAGAAAATCTCACGTAAGATGGCCGACATTTTTAGTTCTCGCATCCTTTCCTCGCGAACGCCATCGAGATCACCCTTTTGCGGCGGTTTATACTGCCGACGACGCGCGCTACCCGCAGATGTACCAGCTGCAATGAAACAATCCAACTAATTATTACTAGTCAGGTTGTTACATAAACTTTTAATGTATACTGAAACGTTTAAGCGGACATCGATCAGAGAACGCGTTGAGTTGCTGATTCCATAATAGCTAAATGTAAATTAGTCGAATCACAAAGGTTTTATAATGATCGCAAATTTATATCTAAACTCAATAGACAAAAAAAGTCAGCTTTCAGAATTTAAATTTCGTTTAATCCGCCCCGAAATGTTGTTGGTCCAACTCTGAGGTAGGAATTTTTATTGAAATTTCAGGTTGTCGCCTGTTTTTCTGTCGCTACAAATTGAAGTAGAGGATAGAAATGCCGAACCGAAGGTGATTTGTGTCCGCACATATATCATATGATTTCGTCAAATCGGTCGTACCTTTATTAAACAAAGGGGCAAATGGTGTAAAGGAGCAGAATATGGTATCTTTATGTATAATCGATGCAATGGCGACTATTGTTCTAAATCTTCTAACATTAGTAAATGCTTTAATACTGCATTGGTAAGCTTAATGAAAACATCGTGACTAGTCGCGTACGGATCGTATGATCATTTGAGAAAAAACTACTAAGATAATTTCGGTCCGAAAAATTTCAATTTTCAATTAGAAGTACCGTTGCGACTTTTGTCCGATCAATATCCCGGCAATTTCAAAAAAAGTGCACCGTTCCAACTATACTCTTTGACCACTTCAGACATCTTTCAACACCATTATTATTACCATGTTATATCTTATTATTAACATGTTTATATCTAAAATGATCAAGTTAAGGACGCGTTGTTCCAAGTGTGCGTTTGACATGGCACAACTATTACTTTTTCAGTAAAGTGCTATTGTGACTGCTTTTTACGATAGTACCTTTGAAACGGACTATAGAAAATTCAGTTTCTCCATGCGTTACCACTTGCTAACTCACCAAAATAATAGTTTACGAATATAGTGGCTTCTAGATTCATGGTAGCGTAAGTAGCAGGACTTTTTCAAACATGATGTTACTCGTTCAAAAGCTGGGTAGTATTGCATTTAAATGATGCCATCTCGAAATTGTAATTATGCTTTCCTGCTGCCCTTAAAACATACCAGACTGAAAAAATCTTCCAGACAGGTTCGTGAAATTAAAAAATAACCGTTCGTTTACATTGTCAAGTATTTTTTTTCAGTGACAGTCGATTGAGATCGTACGTGGAAAACAACGCAGGCCTTCACCAGTAACTTTCCTGTATCGAAAAGGCTATGCATTTGTTGTTATGAGGAACAACTGGCGTATAGACACACAAAGGCAACGCAAGGTCCGGCTGACGATTAGGTCTATCGACATCGGGTGCCCTTCGAAGCCAATCGAAAATGACAGTGAGACGAAACAGTTTCTGCACAAATGGCCCCCAATGACTAGAGAACTGTTGCTGAATCGTATGTAGCACTAGAAGAAATCAGTCTCGTAACTGAGGCTAGCTTGAGAAGGAGACGTGTCGGTCACGCAAGAGCGCAAAGGGACAGTACAAAGAAGAAATCAATGAATATCCTGTCAGGAGAGCATTACGGCTGTGGAAATACATTTTTGTCGAATTTTACCTAGCAAATGTATTTACAGGTTTATAAACAGGTTTACTTT